GAAAAACTACGTTCACATGCTACTTGCATCGAAGATAATGTTAAAATAAATTTATACGCAAAATAAACATTGCTGTATACTTTGCTATATAAATTATATTTAGCCAAGAAATTAAAACAGCAATAAATACAATTTTTGTAACTCTTTTTGTTTTTGAGGCATACTTCAATTATTATTTCTGAATCTGAATCAGTTAATTCATCGGTGTTATAAATATCTTACATAGATATTTTAAAGTCGTCCCATTTTGTCATTAAATCAGTTAGTTCCTCCCTTAAATTTGACACTGTAGCTGTTTTATGATATTTTACTAGTTATTTACTGAGCTCTTCTAAACTGTTTTTTGAACATTTATTGTCGGTAAAATATTAAGGGTCTAATATTGCCATGTTTGCATATAATTTTCCATGATTTTTAAAACGGTTTTCTATAGTATTTATTGTGGTATCCATAATTACGTTAAACGTGGTTAATTTATATTTTTCGATTGGGTTTTGAAATTCATCATCTTTGGTTATTTTGTCGGGCATTCTCTTTCGTCGTCTAAATCTTTCTTCTGGTATATCTTCTTCGACAATTATTTCACAATTTTCTTCTTCAAGTAGTGTATTCGCACGTTTAGCAAATGTATTTGACTTTTCTTTTACATTAGTAAAATCACGTGAAAATTTTTTGAAGAATTTAATGTGGAAGTTACCATGTTATAAGCTGTTAAATAATTTAAATTGCTGGTTATCTAAATAGATAACGGTCCAATATATTTAAAAAATTTTAAATAAATATGCGCTGTAAGTATAACTTTAAATTTTAATAAAGACTCCATTAATGTTGATGCAGTGTGTCTAATTTGAGCATTGAAAGATACATTAGACACAAAATAATTCAAATTTATCAATGAGTATACATATAATGAGGTTTCTTTGTTATCAGAATGCCAAAAATATTTTTTAAGTGCTGTTTCTTTTGCTGACCATCTTGTTTCACCTATAGCGTTAAGTCTTTGATACCTTATTTTTACACTGGTGTTTTTCCAAACATCCATACGTTGATAAGATTCTCTTAGAAATGCGGCACACGAGTTGAGTAATTGAAAGAGAGAAGTACCTTCAATTACCGAACTAGTAGCATCTGACCTTTTCTATACTAAATCTATACCTCAATATATTTGAGTAAGAGGTAGGAAAATAACTATAAAAAAACTATACTGATTGTTTTAATTTTTGAGCCATAAAAAAAAATTCTATTGTAAATAATTTTAAAAAATATGAGATGATTTAAATATGTGGAACAACGGACATACCATGAGTAGTTTAATACTGGTCATTGTAAGTCTTTTCCACACCGACCGAAATAACTCCTCTTTATTTCAATAATTTTTAGAGAGAAATATAAAAATCTTTGTTTTGATATAACCATAAATGTTCAACACTTTATATTCAACAAATTTCTATTAAAAAAAAAAAAAAAAAAAAAAACTGGGCAGCGTTTATTTTTTTCTTTAATAAGTCTTTAATTTTTTTTCGAATCTGCAGCTTACTAAGATTCTTGCCGTTTTAATTTTAAAGAAAAATCATTTTTTCTTTAAAATTAACAGGGCATTTAAAGTATTTTTCTATAAGAAATAAAATTGTCACTTTAATGCACAGACTTAACTAATAAAGTAAACACATTAACAAAATAAGTACCGTGACATATGCTCAACAAATTTTTAACGGTGTAATCATGTTTTTAGAAATTTTGAAAAGCTTTGTAAATATGACTGTACAGAATTTTTGATATTTAGCAACAATTTATGACAGTCTTTAAATCATTGAAGTCTGGAAAAAAAAAATCCCCTTATCCGAGTGGCCTGTATCTCATATTGACTTATTACATTATTAATTTAATTGATATGATGTTAAAAAATAGAAGGCGAATATAAATTAATTTATTATTTCATATTTAATTGACGATTTGCAAAAAAAAAAATAAAAAAATATAGTAATAAAATAAAGAGAAACGGATTATTTTCTAATTTGTCGGCTAAGAAAGAACGACGTTTTCCTGCGTTTCCCCTACTTTAGCTCATATGTATATATATATATATATATATATATATATATATATATATATATATATATATATATATATATATATATATATATATATATGTGTGTATATATATATATATATATATATATATATATATATATATATATATATATATATATACATATATATATATATATAAATATATATATATATATATAACAGTCCGCGTCAAACGAAAAAGACATGCAATAGTTTAATATTAAAATAGCTGCATGAACGTATTAAATTTAATACAACAATTCATACATGTTTAACACAATTCAATTCAAGAAATAAAATACAAATATTGTCTTTGTATTCGTTTAAAACATGTAAAAAACAAAAAAATTAATAAATTTAAAAATACATAATGTGCCACACCAACAGCACACACGCCATTTCAGCAGGTTTTAAAGATTACTAAGAAGTAGAAACGAACCTAATAGTTAATCTTCTTACCTTTCTTTATAATAACCTAAATGCAACGTTTAAACATGGAGGAAATGAGCGTTTGAAGCAAAGATTGAGAGGTTTTTTTCAATTCTATCTAGATGGTCATTTTTAGTTTCGTGAAGGTACTGCAATGTTTTCCATTTTTATACTCGTGACGAAACAAATAACCCCAAATGTTGTCAATTGGATTCAAGTTGGGTGACATCAGTGGATGATCAAAAAACTGGATGTCATAATATGTTACAAACTCCATTAAAGTCATCGCCGTATGTATCGATGCGTTATCTTTCAAAAAGACAAACTTCTATTTTGTGTTTATGCAAAACAACGCATGCCCATAGAGCATTATGTAATCAAAGAGTGTAATATAGTCTTCAGCTGTATGTTTCCCTTCAAAGAACTTCATTTTAGATGTTGCAGTCTTTGAAAATGCACCCTAAATCATGAAGCCACCACCACCATTTTGTCTAGAAAAGAAAGTCTAGGGCTCTTTTTGTAAGTCATGTCAATAATATTGATACCCATCTGCACCATCAAAGTAAAAATTCATCCCATAAGACCTAATAATTGATCCCCAATCAGGTGGATAAGACAAATGTTTGTTTGCATACGCCATACATTTCTCAATGATATGTTCCTACATCGCAGGCATTGACATATGCTTCTAATACCTCAGATGTTTGTCTTCATGTAACGTTTTTTGTTACGAAATGAAAAATCAATATTTTTATTATAATCGCTCGGTTAATTTTCAAGCATTTTGTTTGGATTTTATTTTCAAATATGCATCAGAATCCTTCAAAATTTTCTAGATCACCTTCCAATTTGGTTTAGACGATGATATATTGGCAGCCTTAAATGCCTAGATCATAGCAGCTTCTTTAGCATTTAACTTAGTTCCTCGTCCCATAGTAGTCCTCTGTAACACAAATGAATATTCAGATATGATGGCCATTTGGTCTACTTCCCTAGCGTTAGCAAATCGTCTAATGCAGTCAAATGCTAAATGACTGACGTTTGTTAGCAAAAATTATCATATTATCTGCATAATTTGACGCGGTAAAATGTTTGGCGCCAAAAACGATATGATTTTTATTATTGATTATGACTCTTTTTAGATTTAATGTTTAAAACAGTATAAAATGAATAAAATATATTATATTTATAGTGTGTGCTATTTGTCTGGCACATACTGTACATATATATGTATATATATATATATATATATATATATATATATATATATATATATATATATATATATATATATATATATAAATATATATATATATATATATATATATATATATATATTTATATATGTATATATATATATATATATATATAGATATATATATATATATATATATATATATATATATATATATATATATATATATATATATATATATATATATATATATATATTATATATATATATATATATATATATATATATATATATATATATATATATATATATATATATATATATATATATATATATATATATATATATATATATATATATATATATATATATATATATATATATATAGATATTGAGATAAAAGACAGAACATGTTGGTATTACTCATTCCACATGCATGATCAGATAATTTTAAAGCCGTTTAGCTCAAGTGGTAGAGTGTTTGTCTCTCTAATCGAGTCGACTCAAGAGATCCAGGTTTCAAAACACCCTCTGGACAAGATTTCTACAACGGTTAGGAAGGAGGCGTGAACTTCTTAATAAATGCTTTTCCACTATGCTCTGTGAAAAACTTCTTGGAGCACCTAAAATCAAAATATTAATAAAAAAGATATATATATATATATATATATATATATATATATATATATATATATATATATATAAAGATATATATATACATATATATATATATATATATATATATATATATATATATATATATATATATATATACATGTATATATATATATATATATATATATATATATATATATATATATATATATATATATATATAATATGTATATATATATATATATATATATATATATATATATATATATATATATATATATATATATATATATATATATATATATATATGTATACATATATATATATATATATATATATATATATATATATATATATATATATATATATATATATATACATATATATATATATATATATATATATATATATATATATATATATATATATATATATATATATATATATATATATATATATATATATATAACACCTAAAATCAAATTATTAATAAAAAAGATATAGAAACTTGATTTTTTTTGACTGATTGCAACAAAACTTTTGAGTCTGCAAAGACCTCAATAAGGTGGTCACAGTTTATCTTCCGGGCACAGTCACTTTCTATTGAGAGCATGGCTAGAGAAGACAGCCGATCGTGCGTCATTGTTGAGCGATGGAAATTTTTTTTAAGTTTTAATTTACTGAAGCTTCTTTAAGCAGTTGCTGCTGTCACAGGGCAAGTCAACAAAACACGGAGTGCAATAGCGACATTAGGATACACCTCCTGGAGACATTTGCTGTTGATATAATTCAGAAAATGTATTGCAGTTTTTAGCTTTTCATCGTTTTCTAAAACTAGATGAATAAATTGCTTTAATTCCATCTCCATTTCAAACGGATCTATATCACCCATTTTATTGTGAAAATTCTGGCACTTCAGCAAAAAGGTGTTGTCTTTGTATGCTTGAAAAAGACTTTTCTGATTGAACAGAAATGAAAATACAGCAGTCACATCATGTGTTTGTTGGAAACGCTCCCGTACAGATTGTAAAGCTTGGTCCACAAGCACAAAAAAAAAGTCATTTTTGAACTGTGATTGGGGCGTTTGACTACCGCCTTCGTCGTCTCCTTCATAATCAACCAATTTTTTCTTCCTATTGTTGCGAATTGATGGAAAATTTCTTGGAATATTTAGTTTTTCTGCAATTTCACGGGCTGTGGTCTCAGCACTTGAGAATCCATTTTCTCGATACTTCTCTCAAAATGCCTCAGTTGCTCTGATTTCATTTTCCATAACATCTAGAGAAATACCAAAAGGATTGAATGAGCTTGCTTGTTTTATTTACTTGGAATAAAATGTCATACTAGATGACAATAGACAAAAGAAATGCCCAGTCTGAAATATATGTTATCAATGACCGAGCCTCTGTAGCTGTTTTTCCATTTTTTTTTTCTATTGCATACACCTCCAGTTTTTCCAGTGCAATCAAAACATTGCCAAAATAATACCGCAGAGGTTTAATACAGTTAATTCGACTTTCCCATCGAGTGTCCGATTGATTTTTAACAGCAATCTCCACATGTTCTTTCAAATTGCTCCAGCACTGTGTGGATGATGAAAATATGGTGTACAATCTGGACAGAACACCAAAGAATGATAAAGTCCTAGTTGACGACTTGGCACTGTCAACCACAACTAAATTCAAGCAGTGATTAGCACAAGGCGCATACAGAGCTTTCGGATTTGTTTGTAGAATTCGTGACTGAACACCAGAATTCTTCCCTTTTATATTAGAACCATTATCATACGACTGGCCCCGACAGTCTAATGTATTCAGTTTTAACTCCTTTTCTCGCTCTAAAAATGTGTCAAAAAACCCTTTTCCTGAGCTGTCACTAACTTGAAGGTATCCAAAAAAAGCTTCCTTTATTGTGACTTCATTACCTGTATCACACTCAACAAAACGCAAAATGACTGTTAACTGTTCTTGGTTAGAAACATCTGGAGTACAATCCAGAATTATCGCATAGTACTTAGATATCATTAGTTTTTTCAGGTTTTGTTTTTCTACTTCTTTTACAATAAGTTGAATAAACTCATTCTGGATTTTGTTGCTGAGGTAGTGATCATGTGTTTGTTTTTTTTCAATCCTTTTCTGTAGCTCGTTCAGTACAGGACCTATTTTTGCTATTAGCTCAAACAGACCCAAAAAGTTTCCATTGTGTGTTGAGCTAAGTACTTCTTCGGAACCTCTAAATGCTAATTTTCTTTCTGACAGGAACTTTATAATGTCAATAAGACGCTCCAGGACATCCCTCCAAAATTGCCTTTCTTTTAGAAAAAGCTGCATTTCTTGTTTATCTATGGATGAATCATTATTGATACCCTCTTTAAGCTGCATCCATTGTCTAAAACACTTTTGATGGGATGTTCCTGTTTCATGGTCTTTTAACTTCTTTGATAGTCCCTCCCATGTACTAGTACCACTACGAAACGGACTTTCATTCGTTTCAAAAAGTTTACAGCAAAAACAAAAAATCTTGTCAGATTTTACCAAATACACAATCCATAAGCGAGGCACAGTTTCTCCATTATTCATCACACGCTTGTAATGAACCGTTGAAATTGGACGCTTTGCAGCAATGTTGCATGGAAAGTCAATATCAACCTGTTGAGGACCACGTTTGACTAGGTCACATCGTTGACCATCAAAAATTTGTTCAGGCCGGCTGGCTGGGTCACAAGCAACGGAACTAAACGGTGGCAATGGTAGAGTGTACAACGTTTCTATTGTGTTAGGTTGATTATTTGCAATATCTAACTGTTCATGAATGACCACTTCATTAGAGCAATTTTTTTCATTGCTGGTGCAATTACTTGGAATAGGTGTAAAGAATGATGTAACTTTGGGAAGTTTGCTAATTGCATCTTTTGTTGCTGCTGCCTCTTTTCTTTTAGTTGCACCTGACTTTGAAGGCTTCATTATCTAAAATGAAAAACAGATTTACATAATTTTTATTCATAGTTTTAGACTGTAATACAATATTTTAAATGTATACAATCTATAAAAACTATATATTATTATAAATAAAGTTTGGGTTTAAAAAGAAAAAAAGAATTTTTTTGTAAGCCCTTTGCATGCACACTTGTATGCGCGTGCAAATTATGCTCAAGTATTTTTAAATACTTAACACAATGTTAACAACAGATAATTTTACATTTTTTTTACAAAATTTTTATAATAAATTCTTATGTTATTGGAAAAGAATGTGTATTAGGAAATCCATTTAAATAATATGTAAAAAATATATTCTTATTAATGTTATAATCTAGTAATGAAAAAGCAAAAAGTATCATCCATTGCTGATAAAACTTAACCACTAAAATGTAGCTTATATATTATTTACAAACTATATAAACAAATTATTTTCTGCTCACTTAAAAGTGTTTTTATGTAGACAACTGGAATTGTTTCTACAAATACAATACAATTAAAATCTTTGTATCTAAATACAAATAAATCCTTGCTACTAAATACAATTAAAAAACCCGTGAAAAACTAGAGTTTGAAAAATGTGAGTCAAATATTAATTTGGAGTTTTGTATACAAAAGTTTAACTAAAATTAAGTATAGATTAACTTAGCAATACAATAGCATATTTCTCAATAGGTTTAGCATAAACAAAAGCGAAACATTCTAAACAAAAGTTTAACTAATTTAAAACGTCCATTAACTCAGCAAATACAATATCAGTTTTGTTAGGTTAAGCGAATTTAAAAAAATTAGAAAACGTTAATAGGTTTTAACATTATATAAAAAAAACAAACACTTATATCATAATTTTAATTTAGTCATCATCTCAAAAAAAAAATGCATACTGCATAGAAGGGCCCCTTTAAATTCACGGGCCCCACCCCCAACCGGGGGGTTTGGGGGGCTCTAGGCACGGCACTGATATATATAAATATATATATATATATATATATATATATATATATATATATATATATATATATATATATATATATATATGTATATATATATATATATATATATATATATATATATATATATATATATATATATATATATATATATATATATATATATATATATATATATATATGTATGTATATATATGTATGTATATTTGTATATATGTATTATGAGCACTCATATAGAAACATGATAGCTTTTGCTGTGGTAAGCCATCTGCTGTGGCAAATATTTCCACACTTTGCTTTAGAAATATTTATGTCCATCTTGCCATTTGACAAACATTATACCAACTTATAACAGAGAACTGCATCTGCCGACATTGTTTTGAGAATTTTTTCGGGAATTTCAATTAAAAGTTCCAGGTCTTATTATTGAATTTAGATAAAGCTTTTCCAATAGGGCCAGTATACCCATCCTTTGAATTAGTGGGGCCATCTAGTTCAACAATTATGTGCCTCAACGGTAATTCATTACAACGGAGCATACAAATAGACCAGGATAATTTTCTCCCTAATATTTGTCGCAGATTTGACAGCAAACTTCCATCTTTTCCTGAACCTGTCATGGAGTTTGTAGAATCTCCACAACGACCTCTACGGACTCGTGGATTGCCCTAGGAACCATCCAATTGTAAAGAGCACATGCGGCTTCTTTGGCTGGTTTGCTTGGCGGTGTAGCTTTAGGTGGTGTGTAATGAGTGAGGTATCTTCCATCAGGCTCACAGGTCACAGTTATACGTTCTTTTTTTATAGTCCTCATGTGAAATTTATTTGTTAGAGGATTCTGTTCCAACACTAAAGTTGAGTTCTTCCTGCAATCAATAAACAAACCTCTTATATGTTCTTCGTCGATTAACTTTTCTTCACACATTATTACTCTCTCCATTATTTCTTCCCTTGTTCTTCTAACTTTCATAGGATCAATAGCTAAATAAAATATATCAGGCGTCAAATAATTCGCTTCAATAAGGTTTAGAAGAAAGAATGTAACACCAGCTGATGTTGCTGCTGGTGAAATATCATATCTTATTGAAACTTCTGAAGTATGACTTATTGACATAATTAATAAATTTTTTTCCAAATCTTGTTTTGAAGCGGATCTTCTGAATTTTTTTCCTTTTTTAAATCTGAATAATCCTCAATTAAACATTCAACAACAGTTTCTTCCTTTTCCATGGTAAAAGATATTAAAGAATGTTTTTTGTTTTTGTAATCCAAGAACAAAATTGCGTGTAAGGAAATTACTCTTATTGAAGCTAATTTCAAAGTGAATTTAACTTTAATGGATTGGTTTATTTTGATCAAAGCTTTGAATTGTAATACCAAAAAAGAAATGGAAATGTTTATAAAAATTCACGAAAAGAAATTAAAAAATTTAACAAATGGCAAATTTACTCCATTAAATGCTTCCGATATCATCATAAACTGTTCTTCGTATAAACTTTAAATTTCTCAATTCCACCTAAATTATCTTAAACGTTCCGATGTATACTCTTCCTTTGAACTCATTAATCGATTTCTTCATAATAATTTAAAATTGAATGACGATTCTGGTAAACTAAAAGCTGAATCTCATTTCGCCAATTCATATATTTATAACTACCGATAAAAGTTAGGGTTAGGGTCAGGGTCAGGGTTGTTTTTAACTTTATTGTATGTTTGTTGATAACTTATTAGCACTGAACAATGTTTTAAGTTATTAAAGTTCAAAGTTGACTTTGTAAAAAAAGTCATCGAGAGAAGAAGATGAATAATACACATTTGTATCATCTGCAAACATTGTGCAATCAAGGTTTGTAGAAGCTTTAGGAAGGTTATTTATGCATATAAGGAATAAAAATAGCGCAATAATTGATCCCTGTGGAATACTACATAATATTTTTAATAACTTTGAGTTAAACTGAGAAAAGTATCATTGATAATGACACATTATTGTCTATTATTTAAATAACTGGTGAACTATTTAATAGTTTTGTATTTATGCCATTCCTTTTCATTTTTTAATTAAAATTTTTTGGTTGACTGTATCGAAAGGTTTTTTAAGATCAATAAAGACTCCTAGCACAAACTGTCCTTCATCAAAAGATAAGCTGATGTAGTTCATAAGGTCTATGATTGCATGTTCCGTAGAATGAGTTGTTAGAAAGTATATTCACTTCAAATACTTTAAAGTCTATAACTTTAAAATAAACTTCAGTTGAGGAAAAAACTACAAGTACGGGTAGTTCGTTCCAATATATTGCTTATCTATTATATAGTTGGTTGTGTCTCGGAAGTCTGTTTGGAAAATATTTGCGCTTTGTTTTAATGTAATAACCACGTAACAAGAAGGTAATATATTTTGGTTGATATTGATCATTAATTATATCAAATTGATGTATTAGTTTAAAGATTTGAATAAAATTGCATTTTAGGCGTTGAAACTCAAGTGACGTTAGATTTAGTCTTTTTTTTTCACAAATGTTTGTGGACAGATTTAGTAATAGTTTTCTTATAAACATTTTATATAATTTGAGAACCATTTTTTTAATTAATGATAGTGAATGTCTTTTTTATTACACAAAAAACTTGTAGAGATTTTGAGACAATTGATTGAATATGTGTGCTCCACTTAAGGTTAGATGTAAAAATGACTTTTAAATCAAGTTCTTTATTTGAGCTTTTTAGGCTTTCATTTATACTTTGGTTGTTTTCAAAAAATAACTGTACATAGGATTGGTTTAACTATAACAGATAACACCAAGTACCCTATTGTTTGACCCCTCGTGCACTAAGAGTAAACAATCTTACAGATAAACAAAGTTAGTCTGCGATAAAAATTTAGAAAAAAAGTTTAGCAGCGTTTGCAAATATTTCACAAGTTTCAGCAAGTTGGAAAAGATTATTTGTAAGAAGAATTTGAGAGGAGCGGGCCTAGAGCAGAACCTTAAGAAACACCACTGAAAACATTTACCCAGACAAAATAGGTTTTGTTCATTGTAACGCGTTGCTTTTTATCTACTTAAAAGGAATTAATCTAATGCATTAGTTTGCCATTTATTGCGAATGAATTCAAGAATCAAAAACTTTAGTAAAGTTGAGATAGATTACATCAATAAACTGGTGCAATACTAGGGAAGAAAAAATAGTATCAAAAATCTCTATTCAATTGCTTACCCAAAGATTATGATGAAGGAAGCCATGCTGATTTGTAGAGAGCAGATTGTTATTGTTGATGTGCTTCAAAGATTTTGTTCTTTATGACTTTTTCTAACGAGATTTTGCACCCAACCTACGTAAGTTAAATAGGTAAAGAGTTTTCAGGAAGTTGTTTGTCTCCCTTTTTTTATAGACCTTATTAATATTTTCTAATTTCCAGAGGGTTGGTATTATTCCAGAATTAAGAGATTCATAAAAAATTTTTGTAAGCGGAATTGCAAAGCTTTTGACACAAATCGTATGAATTAAAAGATGAAAACCGTCAGGTCCGAAAGATTTGTAAGGGTTTAGATTCCGCAATAGAGTCCGCAATAGAGATTAGAGTCCGCAATAGAGAAATCCAAGTTATTATAATTGCATATAGGTTTAACATCACTTTTATTAAAAATAGAAAATTTATCGGTTGAGTTTCTGTAAATTTCCCTGAAGTATTTTTGGAAGAACAATTTTTTTTAAATCTTTAAATTTTAGCTGCTTAAATTTAAATCTTTAAATTTTGGTTGTTTATTTGAAGACAAGTTTTAGGTTGTTCTCAGATTTTGATACTAATTCTTTTTCATGTCATATTTTTGCTTTAATTATTTCAGTTTTTAAGGGAACAATTAAAACTTAACAGTTATGATTGTAATTTGTTTTGAGATATTTATTCTTCCATTTAGTTGAGCGAATGTCTAGCCAATTATTTTGCTCAGATTAAGTTTTTAAGATATGGAGCAACCCAATGATCATAGTTTTTTGTTTTTTTAAATAATTTTGTGGTTAAAAAATGTGCAAGCAGTACGGTAATAGGAAATTAATAAATTGAACATTTGATCCGCAGTTTTGTGTAGAAATATAATATTCCAAACAATTGATACAATAAATTTTGATATTGAATTATAATTACCTTTGTTGTAACTAAACAATTGAGATTCGTTTTTGCGTTGCGGTTTTGAAACTATGATTCTCCAACTAAAGTGACCCTTAGTTTTATTACCTAGTATAGCATTAGGAGACAATTTTGAAATAGAATTATTGTTTTAGGTATATAATAAGTCCAAAATATTTTTTGTGGAAAAATAGGTCTTCTGGAAAATAGGAAACATGATATGTTGTATATAAAGGATGTTTTGGTAAATTTTCAAAATTCTTAAAAAAAAACTCCATAGAACTATTTGGATTGAAAGATTTAATACCATTATTAGACCACTTCATATTTGAATGATTAAAATCACCAACGATAAAAAAGTCATTGTAGGGCTAAAAAGATAAGCTATGAGCTATTTTGAACAATTTAGCGACATTAGTTTATTAGATTATAATCATTTTGTCTATATACACTCTATAGGTATGCGCGTATTATTACCTTTTACTGATACTCAAATTTGTTCAAGAGGATATCTATCGAACTAATTAAATTTGAGAGAGTTACATAAGTCAGTAATACAGATAGCTACACCGCCACCTCGACATCCGTTACGACAATCTTGTGCAATATAAATTATACCCATCGATTTTAGGAACTGAGTTATTCCCAAACCATGTTTCGGAGATAAAAATAATATGGTAATAAAACGTTCTAGCTATTGCAACTAAATCAACGAATGTTGTATTAGTGTAGTAATAATTAACGTTTTAGTTTGTTTTCAAGTTATGCAAGTATTTACCCTTGTATTTTAGTTTTGTTGGTTGGAGAACAAAAGTGGGGTAGTGATTCTTAGGCAGTGGTATTTCAAACAATTTTTCAAAAGATATAGTTTTCGATATTTTTTTACTAACTCTAAATGTGAACCTAAAGAACACTATTTTTAAGTCTTTAAATCTTCTCAACAGCTTTAACTAAATATTAATTAAAAAATTTTAAAAAAGTGCGTTAACCCAATATAGATCCTACTATAAATCTGTTCTGTTACTATTTAAATAATTGGTTACTTAAATATAGTTGTAAAAAGACTACATATCTATCAATTTTCACAAAATTTAAAAATTTCGACCTAGAAAGTGCTTGTGTTTAAAAAAAACTGCCAATAAACAATCACAGCAGATCATATTAATAAACTATGATGCTCAATTTATCTAAATAACGTATTTATTTTAAGTTTTGTTAAAATCTGGACAAGAATTCGTGATTTTTAGGAGGTTATGAAAAAAATTAAAAAAAGAAGCTTTCGCCTGGGTTTTTTCAACACAAACATATTTATTTGATGTTCGGCTGAATCATAACCTAGAGGCCTAGAGATCATTTAAAAGAATCATATTTTTGTCAGCAAAATTTCATATAGACGCTATAATATTTTTAATTTGCCTGAACTACACCAAGGTGTACTTAAAATTTTTTTTTTTAAATATATTTATTAAGTTTTTTCCAATAAAGTGGTTGACAATAGTTTGTTTAAAAAAGACTTAAATATAATCATTGCTTCACAAAATTATTATTTGCTGGTTTAAAATTAAACATAAATTTGAGGGGTGTTTATGAGAAATTTTGCTTAAGTAAGAATGAAGTATTTTAGGAGATGTAACGTGTTTATGTTTTCATTTAAACGTAAACAGCAAACTTAGTGTATAATAAATTTATATACATTAAAGGTAATAGGGTCGTTAAGAGATTCGCTATAAACCGTTTTGTTAGAGTCAAATATTATTCTGCATGCATTTTTTATTTTTTTTTCACTCTAGATCTTTTATAAGTTATTAAAACTTGTACTTTCTGTGGCAATATTACCATAAGTAAAATAACTAGTAAATCAAGCGAAAAGTATTTTTTGAAGATTCAGTGTAAAGATATGGTTTAATTCTTTATAGCATTAAGATTTTTTTTTGATTTAAAAAAAAATAGAATTTTACATTTAGTTGGAATTATCAAGATAAATTAAAATACACTTTTTATAAATTATTTAAGGCGAGTTTCCACTCATCCGTTTTTTTACGGGAACGGGAAAGGGATGGGAAAAATAATCACGTGGGCATGCGTAGTATAAGTTTTAATATGTCCGAAGGAAAACTATGCATGCTCACGTGATTATTTTTACCTTTCCTATCCCGTTCCCGTGAAAAAACCGATGTGTGGAAACTCACCTTTACATTTTTAATATACTTTGAGCAATCAAGTGGAATAATACTTTAACATTTAAAGTTTGATTTTTTTTTTTCCCGCAAATTAGAAATAAAAGAATATATATATATATATATATATATATATATATATATATATATATATATATATATATATATATATATATATATATATTAAATAAAATTAAAATAAAACGTCACTTTCTGCTTAAAAACTTCTCACAAACAGATATTTTCAAACATCTTTCTTTTGTGATTACGAAAGGTTCTCTTCTGGTCATGTTAAATTCAATTAAATTATTTCTTGTTGTAAGTCCATAAATTAATGTGGTGTTGGAATCGTAACCAATAATCTGCATTACTTGAATTGGGAGAACTAAATAAATAAAAATTTAGTTTTCTTTAATCAAAGCAATTTTTTAGTATATTGTTATCCGTTTTGTATGTTATTTTAACTAACCGTTCAAGATTCTTTGTATATTATTTTCAAAAAAACTTACAGGTAATTACTCCAGATGATATTTCACGCTGATAACAAGGGCTAGATTGTCTAAAACAAATTTTAGGTTGATTTTAATTTTTATAAACCAAATACATAATTTTATTTAATAAAAAAGCCCAAAATGTTGAATAATGTTTACACTTTCCTAAACAAATATATTCATTATATTTAGTTTTTATCTTTATAATGTTTTGTCTAAATAGTTTTAATAATAAGTAAAAATTTAAATATTAAATAAAAGATTTGGTTCAACAACATTTGTTTTTACCCTTTTTCAAAAACTTTTTTCTCAAAAATAATTTATAAATATTTAGTTATGTGAAATATTTAAACACCTTGTAGCTTTATGTGTAAGTTACAACAAAAAAGTTTACCTCTTTTGAATGGTCTGACATACAAACTGATGCGTTTCATACAACAATGATGTTTTGCTTGGTTGTCCGTAATTCCATGTTGGAGTAATCTTATTTACTATAAAAAAAAATACAACATAACTTGTTTAAAAAGTCATTTCGCCCAAAACTATAGCATATGTAAAGCTTTGTATCTAAATTTTTGTGATACTAAAGTGAAAACTGATAAAAGTTGCAAGTTTTAGAGCTTATAAGATGTGTTGTTTCATATGCAACATCTCTTGATGGTTATTAGATTTTATAATTACAAAAAGTAGAAAACTATGTCTAACCTAGATAAGACGTTAGTAGTTATTTTGATCAGGAATTAACTTGATTTAAACAGGAATTAACTACAACTCAAAGTAATAAAGAAAAATATTACTATTATTGTTATTAATATTATTGTAGTTAGTATTACTATTACACTTAAAAGTTAGCAAAGTTGTCTTTTACATTTAAAAATGTCTTGTATTTAGATATTCTAAAAGTTTATATTTTATCTTTTTTTTTTCATTTAAGATATTAGCATAATCTTAAAAAGCAAGGATACTTTTTGCGTAAGTTTAAATATTAGGGGTTATAAAAAAAAAAAAATTTCAAAACGCGAATACACAATAAGCCAAATTTGGGGCAAACATAAAAAAAATACGATTAAAAAAAAAAAAATTCAAAAATATTGACATATACTTTGTGCTCAAGCGGCAAAATACCCCGAAAAATGCTCTAAATAGTTCTCAAGTAATTTGGCTTTTAGCGCTAGGTAAATCTCAATATTTTGTAAATTTTTTTTTATATTTTGCTCATAATGGTCCAAACTTTTTTTTTAGTTTGTTGTGTCTCCTATTTTTTTTCATAATTATTGTTTAAATTAAAAAAAGATTTTGCAAAAAATTACGCAAAAAAAAAAAAAAGTTTTAACGCGCAATTTTAACAGTCAAAAGCGTGAAAACACTTTAGTGCTATTTAAAATTTACTTTTGTTTGCTTTGTTTTGCTTCACTGCATTTTTCTATTGCTAATTTTTCTTAAATAATAAACATTTTAAAAAGTCATAAAAAGAAAAAACTGACGACAGTAAATAGTGTTGAATATAATCTAAAAATATTGTTCCAGTTATAATGAAAAGTTTAATAGAAAACAAGCAAGAGTCACAAAAATTGATAGTTGTAAGTGCAAATAGCAGTGAGAAACTATTAAATCTCTAAATGGTAGAGAGAAGCAAAATAAAAAAATGAAAAAAATACATTTTATTATTGAGGAAGTCAAACCAGCTATACCAGGTAATGAATTTTTTCTGAGTTCTTTTTTAGTTTTGAATATTATTTCAATAAGATTTCACGTTGCAAAGGATAAACCTTACTGAGTTTTTTAGTTTTTTTTTTATTTGATCAACTACCAACAGGATTGGATATTTTACAGCACATAGCTTTTAATCAGTCTATGCTTCCTAAAACGTCAAAAAAATCTTTAATAATTGCTAAAAAAAACAGGAAATATGAAAGATGTGTTGAACGACATTGTAAGTGTATTCTTAGCCAAATAAAGGATTCGTGGCTTAAAACTGGATTTCTTCTTTAATCAGATAACAGTTTGATTCAAAAGCTGAACAAGTTGAACAAAAAATATGTTAATTTAAAAAAAAAACATGTACCGGATGTCGTCTTTAGAATTGAAAAAGCAACAAGACTTTAGAAAAGAACAGGGAAAAATCTTTTGGGCAGGAAAACCTGACTTACGAAGCTGGATTAAAAAGGACAAAAATAGATCCGACTTAGAAAAAAAAAGAGGACCTAGAATTTATATACGATTAAGAACATGACAGAAAGTTATTTCTAGGGCCAGAAGATAAGAAATACAGGAAGAAGGTAATTCATTTAATGACCTTTTTTTTCCTGAACTAAAAAACTACCTTTTGCTACTTTTTGATTATTGAGCTTTATTTTTGCTTTAATACTTTTTACATTATTATCTTTTTTAATTTTACAAAATTTTAATAAAGAAATTTAAAAAGAATAATATCAAATAAAAATAACAACAATAATATTAATAATGGTGCATGTTGTTTAGATTTTAAAGAATACAAGAAAAAGAAATTCATCTAAAAAAGATGCTGCAAAATTACTGGAAGCAAAGGAATTCAGAGTTTAAATTTAGTCCAACTCGAGACCCGAGCGAAGATTTATCTTTTGATTCAGATTATGACCCAGGATATTGGCGTTCTTCAGAGTCTAATAGCATAATAAAAGCTGAGATTCCAAAAGATATTCTTTCTGGTAATGTTATCCTAATAGCTATAGTTACTATTAATTTTCCCAATGTTTTGACAAAAGTTACGGCTGCAATCATTGATAGTTGTAGCGTTGATCTTACAAATGCAAGATGCAGCAGTTCGGCAGCATCTAAAAAGATAAAACAAACAGCTCAAAAAATGGCAGCTATTGCTAAAGAAGATGTCATACTTAGCATCCAAGCGTCTCCCTACCCATGCATCGTTCATTTTGATGGAAAAACGCTTTTCGAAACCAATAATGGAAAAAAACTTAAGAATGACAGACTAGCTGTTCTGGCAACCATCGATAAGGAGTCACATCTTCTCGGTGTTACGCCATTAGCCTCATCATCTGGAGAAGATCAGTACAATGGAGTGATGAAACTACTAAAAGATTTCAATCTTGAATCAAAGATTCGATTACTTTGCTTTGATACAACATCAAGCAATACAGGTATACATAAAGGATCTCTAGTAAGAATATCTACTGCGCTAAATAAGTATCTAATTCTCTTAGCTTGCAGACATCATGTTTCTGAGTTGAGAATCACACACTTCTGTGAAGCTGTAACAAATGAAAAAAATACGGTGCCTGATAATCTTCTGTTTAAACAATTTAAAAACATGTTTGAGCAGCCTAATTTCGAGTATATACCATCTTTGCTAGTTAAATTTTCTTGGGATGAAGTTAAAGGAACTAATGTTGAAAAAGCTGCAATAGAATCTTTTGACTATTGTAGGTTTTACTTATCAAGAAATGATATTGCGAGGGAAGATGGAAAAGAGCTAGCAGAGCTAGTGGTCAGCTATCTCTCTGCTTCTAACATTAAAATTAAAAAGACTGGAGCTATTCACCATGCGAGATTTTTAGGGAAATCTATATACTATTTAAAAATGCAAATTCTTCCAAATCAGATTTATTTTTTTCTAGAAAGTAAAGAACATATTAAAATAATAATAGAATTTTTAGCTTGCTTTTATGCAAAGTGGTATCTGTAATCAAATGATACAATCAAAGCTCCTTACATGGATGTTACTGCCATTCATCAAATGCATCAATATAAAACAGAATGTGCAGAACCAGATGCCGTAAATGCTGTGTTGAATTCTTTATTCAAACATACATAGTATCTAGATTCAACTCTGATTCCTTTAGTTTTGCTGAATGATGACGTTACACTTGAAGAAAAGAAAAAAATTGCTGCTGCAATATTATCATATCCAAAACCAATCCCATGCTATTTTAAAACAAAAAATAAACAGAACAAAGACAAAAAAAATGTTAACACTTGAACTAGACATTCATCAGCAGCCTCCTAGCTTAGCTCCTTTGGTTGACAAATTCTCCTAGTTAATGTTAACTTTTCTAAGTTTTTCTAAGTAGATGGTTGGAATAGATGAACAGCAAATTGAGGACTTTGCCACCTCAGTATTGGCACACGCAATCATTGTTTAGATTATTTCTAAATTTTGCAAAAAGTATTGTTTGTGTAAATGACCATGAGGGCTAATGACCGAGAGGGCTATTGGAATGATGCAACAATTTGTTCCCCGCTAGAGAGACGAGGAAGAAAAACAAAATAGACTTATTACTGTAGACAAAGTTCGTTCAATTCTCAAGGCATCAAACAGCGAATCGTTATCAACCAATAAAATAAATAAGCAAGTATTAAGCAAGAAAAGAATCACAGATGGATTACTTAACATACGCTCCAAAATACAGAAAATAAATTGAAACAAGTTACAAAAAATTAAAAAAGTTTGTATCATTCAATCAACTTTTAATTTATTCTCAAAAAATTAATTAAAATTAAATTAAATTTCTTTTTGAGACGTTGAACAATGTGATTATATATAAGTCATATAAATGCAGAATTATTATGCATTATTTTGTAAAAACCGCTTTAAAACTTTTTTTTTGCGTATTTTTTTGCAAAATCTTTTTTTTATTTAAACAACAATTATGAAAAAACCAGTATACACAACAAACTAAAAAAAAAGTTTGGACCATTATCAGCAAAATATAAAAAAAAAAAATTTACAAAATATTGAGATTTACCTACCGCTCAAAGCCAAATAGCTTGGGAATTATTTGGGGCATTTTTCGGGGTATTTTGTCAATATTTTTGTACACAAGGTAAATGTCAATATTTTTTAATTTTTTTTTTTTAATCGTATTTTTTTTTATCTTTGCCCCAAATTTGGCTTATTGTGTATTCGCGTTTTGAAATTTTTTTTTTTTGAACATCCCTATTAAATATCCATCAGGTATGCTTTTATATTATATTGTACCAAGAACTTCATTATTAAGATTTTGTTTTCTTAAAACAGGATTTATATTTCTTGTTTAAAAGAAAAAATTTCACACTTCGCTTTTAATTTATTTATTTTTGAAAATAAAAACTGTAAATAAAACTGAAAAAAAGTTGCCTCTTTGATACTTCTTGGGGACTTAGCTAAATTTAATAAAATAAATAATGAAAAAAAAACAAAAAAACAAAAAAAAAACAACCTAATATTAAACTAAGTTTATTTTAAGTTTTGGTATTTATTTTATAAAACATTTTTGTATTTGTAAATAAAAAATAATTTGTAATTGTGAATAAAATACCAAATTTTTTATTGAAAAAACTTTTCACAAAAATATTAACTCTAGTAAAAAAGCTATACAATATAAAAAATAGTTAAAAATTTATGTTTTACAACTACAAAATAATTTCTGTTAAAGTTTCTCACCTGGTGATATTAGTTTATTAAGTGGTACCATAATTTTTTGATTTTTGTATTTCATGCTAAGATCTTCACAAAAATAATTCCAGCTGTAATCAGCATTGATAAAAACGTTTTTATTGTTAAGTACACTTTTGTAATTAAAAACAATTGCAAAGGTTGTGTACAGTTTTTTAGTAACTCTTGCTACCTAAAAAAATATTTAAAATAGTTTTAGAGAGATAAATCAGGTTAATTTTTTATTGGGGTCAGATATTTATTGCGCATGTGCCTATATAACTCATTCTTACTATATAAATAAGAATTTGCTTTATATAAAACTTTACAAACATATTTTGTTTTTACTAATTTGAAAATCTAAGCATTTTTTTACAAATTAAAACCAGCTCAATACACTAATGAGGCAAATATGAATTACGTCATTTAAGAAGAAGTTGGGACTCTAACAGAAAGGGTAAAAAAAATAAACCTTTGAACCATAATCTACTTTTTAAACTTTCAAAAACAAAATACAAGCACCCGACTAGAACTGCTGTAACAACTATAAATAAGTATATAAAAATAATCATGGAGTTCAACATAAATTTGAAAATGAAAGTTTGAAGAAAAAACTTGATTGAAGCAAAGAATTTTAAAGTTAAATGATTTAAAAGAACATTTAGTGGCTCATGTATTGCATCAATAGAAAACAACGTTCTTCATAAAAATAGCATTTAAAAATTAGCAGAAATAAGAAAAATTTTTTAGAAAAAATATTTGATACCTGATTTGTTTAAATTTTTTTATGGCTGGATGAACTAACAAGTAAATGTTGTTTGTGTAAATAAGTAACAGTAGTAATCAAATTAGTAGGTTTGTTTTTTTCAAGAATATCTATGTTTTAGTTAAAATAATTATTTTTAAATTTTTACTTAAATACACATATTTCTTGAAAAAATAACCAATTTTTGCCATCAAATATAAAACTTCTATTCATTTTTAAAAAGTTTTAAAAACGTTTTTGACTAGCTTTAAACGGTGCTTTGCAAATGTGCTACTTTACTTAAAAATGGAGTATTTTCATTTCTCTACGAACTTTTACAACCATAAAGTAAATTTTTTAAAGTAAATTATACATATATAAATTCTATGATAACTCTAAGAAAGATATATGGTTTTTAAAAATTAAAAACCCCTAATAAATAGCAATTACTTATCATTATCTAACATGGCTCTGACATTCACTACACAAAAAAAATACCTTGATCATTTGATTTCAAGCGATATGCAGAATGACAAATATGTTTTAAAACAAGTACATTCTATCTATGCTAAAGATAACATATTCATAGAAAGTTCAACAAAACAAAAATACAAACAAAGATTGTGTTATTTATTTTTTTTGTAGTCAAATTTATGGATGTCAGTTACGGTAGCTCTTGCTAAAAAAATAATTTCATAATCTAAATGTCGCTTATAATAATACACTTCGCGTGATATTAAATAAGCCATCATGGACAAGTGCTAGTGAATTATTTGTGAAGCATGGTACTCATTCACTTAATGTTATTATTCGTAAACAACAATATTCATCATTATTACTGCTTCAAAGTAGTCACAACCTCTTCATTAAAGCTTTGCTAACTCTGAGAGTTTTTCGAAGTCTCCATAGATATTTTAATAGAAAGCTGAGTTATGTTTATAACACTTTAAATTTTTTTTCCTCGGGTTTTTTTTTATAGTGCGCTATTTTTTTTTCATCTACTATTATGTTCATGATATTATTTATAATGATATTATTTTTTTTAATCTAATATTATACTTAGCTAAAAAATTAAAGAAAAAAACTACATTGAAAAAAGACTGGTTCAAACATTTATCATCAAATTAAAAAAACTTTTTAAAGAAACTATAAACAGTTCAACGTAAAAAGTGTAAAGATCTAATTGATATAGCATTTTATGAATATGAATCTAACATAGCAAAACAATCTAATACAAATCCTAAATTATTCTATTGTTACGTTAAAAAAAACAAATTAGCCAAACAAGAAATTAAATTATCAAGCGATCAGAATTGACAATTGCATTAGGACGAGAGTAAAATATCAAATATTCTGGGTTTACATTTTTATTTTGTGTTCATCTAAGAAAAAATCCTTTTTGTATTACCATATTCTCATCCTAGATCATCTATAACCCTGCGAACTAAATAAGACTTCTCTTCTATAATATTAGCAAAACACTTAGAAAAGTTAAACGAAAATAAATTGATTGGATATGATATAATTCATCCTATAATCTTGAAAATAATGTTTCATTTACTACAAAACAATTTAATTAATAATAATCAACATGGTATAATATTTGCAAATAATGCAAACCAGATTTTGCAAATGGTTAGTAAAGCTTTTAGAATTTTGGATGTCTGCACATTGAAATTATTATATACCTCGCTTGTAAGACTACATTTAGACTATGCTGTCTCAGTTTGGAATCCTAACCAACAACAAGATATAGCTCATTTGGACATAATTCAGAAAAGGGTGACAAAAATAATTCTTTAGTATCTTTAAAAAGTATCTTGAAATAGTTTCTTTAAAAGAAAACCGAATATGAAAACAGACTTAAAGTTTTTAACCTGGAATCATTAGAAAAAAAAAAAGAACTTGCGGAAACCTTATAAAAATGTATAAAATAGTATATGGCACTAATCTTTCAGTGTATCTTTCAATAAAACCACGTTTTCTGGTCGCAGCTGTGTGAATTTTGTAAAGCCGATTTTTAAATCTGGATTTTCTTCCTTAAACATAAAAAATGCTTCTCGAAGAAAAACAGTCAGATAAAACTTATGCAATGTCCCTTTTTTACCTGACTTCCACAAAACCAATGCTCTCTAATGTTAAATGCAGCCGTGGCGCAGTGGTAGCGCACTTGCCTCAGAAACGTAAGATCCGTGGTTCAAACCCACCTATGGGCAAGTTTTGCGACAGGAAGGAGGCGTGAACTTCCTATTAAATGCTTTTCCGCGGTGCTCTGTGATAAGACCGTAAGGACTTCTTGGGGCACCTAAACCAACATTAAAAAAAAAAAAAAAAAAAAAAAAAAAAATACTCTTCCGTAGTGATCTATAATAAGACCGTAAGGACTTCTGGGAGCACCTAAATACATACAAAAAAAAAAAAAAAGTAATAGGTATTTTTGGTTGATTTTTTAAGTCAGTCACTTTTATTTAAATTTTATTTAAACAAAATACTACTATGTAAAAACAGATCAATGCGGAACATGTAAAAAAATTTTTGTTTGATGACATTTTTGTAGGAGTAAAAGCGTTTTTTGGTTCATTAATTTGAAACAATCATTATTTACTCATTTAAAACTTCCTAAAATTGAAATAATAAACTAGTTTTGAAAATTTAAACAACGATTTATTTGAATATTTTATTTCAAATCTAATTGTAGTATTTTTATTTCAATATGATGTAAAATAAGGGAGTTATTATTTAAACATTATCTACCTAGATAATGCAAGCATATCAAGTAAACAGCAAAATGTATTTCAATGTAAAATGTGCAAAGCAAATTTTTATAATTCAATGGTTTAATGTGAAAACAAATTGTTTCAGTTTTGGTTTTGCGACCAGATATGCACTCGGAAACGATATTAACAATTTGCAAAATTAATTTTAAAAATAAATTTTTTTTCATAAAACTTCTTTTTTTTACAAATTAAAATTCCTCAATGTTGACAGACAACTAGGCAAATTAACCTTATAATAATTTTATTATTTAAATATATCTAAAACAGTATAGTTATTAATTATTTATACAATTTGTGCATTTTATGTAATTAAGAGTCAAAAAACTCAAACCATATCTGCAAAAAAAAAATTCTTTTACAAGCGCGTAAAAAGAATGTAAGTATAATATGAATAATAGATTATAGACGAAAAATGTTATATTTATATAATAAAAGAAACGTAAGCTGACAAATTTATTTACTAATATAAGCTTAAAGAAGCTTATAATATAATAATATAAGTTGATTATAACAATAGAAGCTAAGATATGGTTATAATAATATAAGTTAATAAAAGTTGATAAAATTCCGCGTTCGAATCCATAACGAATTTTTTTAATTTTAATTTCATTTAAGAAAAGTTTTATTTTTATATTGTTTTATATTTATTAACTATTATTGTTGCTTATTTATAGCTATGTTAGTTATTTATATTTATTCTTCAACGTTTAGAATAAGTGCATTAATGCATACAATAATCAACTTTAAAAGGGGTAGGAGAAGTTGAGTGTACAGATTTGTCAGGCATTCTTTTAATTAAAAGAAATGCGTTAAAATTAATTTTTTATTAATATATTTTAAACGTTTTCCTCCATTTTTGATAAAAGAAAAAATCCTTTTCCAGTTATTATTTTTTTGGATGATCAGACGTGACTTTTTTTTTATTGAATTTAATGAATTTTGCTCTAAAAATGAAATTATTCTTGTTGCTTTGCCCCAAATGCAACACATACTTTGCAGCCGTTCGATGTGGCAGTTTTTTAGCCCAATGAAAGCAAAATAGAAATCTTTTTGACGACAATAGCGCATTGACTATGAAGGACAAAAAATAAACAATCAAAATGTACCAGAATCATTAAATTCATTTATAATCAATCATTTTATGGCAAATAATGTTACAAGTGGTTGTAAAAATACAGGAATTTTTTCGTTCGATGCTAATAATGTTTACCCAAAAATTGCTTGTTAAATTACAAGTTGTTGATAGATTTTTATTACCCTGTTGTAATTCATCAGGTAAAATTGTGGTCTTATATGATTCGCATAAGGCTTTTTTCTAAAACTAATACACCTGGAGGTATACAGTTGACTCAGATTATCTGAGTCAACTGTTTATTCAACGCCTTATTTAAAAGAGAACCATTCAAGTGTGGCTTTATTCGCTCCCTCTCCCATAACTTTTTATGGGAAAATGCATTGAACCGAGTATTTTTAAACAACTTAATATAGCTAACGAACATTTAGGTTGGGAAGGTGATCTTGAATACCGCCAACTGTGTTAGTTTTGGAAAAAGCCTTACATGAATCATAAAAGACCGCAATTTTACTTGATGAAATAGAACAAGGTAATAAAAATCTATCAACAACTTGTAATTTAAAAAATGTGCAAGTTATAACCGATATGGAAATGCC